CTCCCGTCTCCCTGGTCCAGCCTGCCCACCCACACCCACAGCGTCTCTCGGCTGGACGGCTGCCACTGCCCAACAGATACCCCCACTGGGCTTGCCCCGTGGGTGAAAGCCAAGCTCAGCTCTGCCTCCAGGACCAGCCTGGGCCCTCGCAACCTCCGAAGGCACCCCTCGCCCCCCCAGCCTTTGACACGCACCTGGTCCGGATCACCCTTGTTCTACCCAGTGAAGCCCTTTCTGCCTTCTTTGTACGGCAAAGTCTCCCTCATCTCAGACACCCCTCCCTGGCAGGTTGGGCTCCTGGCTGGGTTTTCCTGACACTCCTCAAGTGCCGTTTGGAGTTTTCAGTATTGGTAAAGTCAGTAGTATGGGTGTGAAGGACTTCTTAGCATGTGCCCCCTGCTCCCAGAGGGACAAGGACCCTGTCACAGTGAGACATGAAGCATGACGCTTAGCCTCAGGGGCCCAGGAGCCACTCTGCTGGAAGCAGGATCCACGCCTACTTGCTGTGTGACCTTGGGTAAGTCACTTAACCTCTCTGTGCCTCAGAGTCCTCATCTAAATTGTATCTACCACATAAGGTTGTCACAGGATTACGTGAAGAAGTAAAGCACTTCAAGCAGCACCTGGCACCCAGCGGCGCTGGGAAGTCATCTCACGCGGTATGTCCTGGGTGCCTGCCTCTGGCTGAAGGAAGTCCTGGTGGCCGAGCACTCTGTGTGGATCCAGCCTCTCTGGGTACCCTCTAGAGAGCCTGGCAGTGTGATGATCTCATTACCTGGGAAGGCAGAGAGCAGCCGCAGCTGGGAACCCCGTGTCTGCTCCAGCGCCCAGCTCTTAGAAGCTGCCGTCGCCGGGTGTGATGCAGACAGAACAAAGGCCGCTGAACAGCGCGGAGTGGGAAACATCACTTCAAATCTGTTTTTTCAAATCGCGTTATTTTAAATGCCCTGGGCGGATGCCCACGTGTGCAGGGACACTCAGCCTGTCCAGAGGCGCTTTGTCTCTTTGAAAGGCCTCATTGTAACCCCACACCGGCCCCAATTGATACCCAGAACAACAGGCCCTTGTGTGGGTGCTGAAGGCAGGCTCGCTCCAGCCCACGGCTGGCAGTGCAAACCCTTTGCTGCCTCTTTAAGGTCAGCGTGAAGCAGCCTTCAATCTTCCATTCGGGCTGCTTTGCAAAAATAGTCCTACAACCTGCGGGGGTGGGGGTACGAGACGCTTTTTAGAATTCGGCCCTCGAACGTTGAAGAGGCCCGGCTGCCATGAGCCGTGTCTTCTCCAGAAGGGAAGATCGATGGGGGCTCTGTCCTGTGCAGAATCGGGGGCAGGAGCTTTGCTTCCTGGGACACCTCCCAGGCCACCCTGCCCTGCACGGGGAAGGCCACCAGGAGGATACCTCCAGGATCACCCCCTGAAGCAAGGGAGCCACAGCCTGGGAAGTCACAGGCCATAGTCTCCAAAATGTCCTGGTTGGATTTGGCTGGTAGCTACCGTTTGCTGATTGCCCCCTGGTGATGTGCCCCCTCCCCACACATGTGTCCATAATGAATCACAAGCCCCTTGGAGCTGTTCGAGGGCCATGGAAGGCAGGAGGGAACGCACTGATCAGATCACTGTCCAGTCAAAGCTATGCCAGAGCGCTCCCAGCCACTGTCCCAAACCCTCGCCGCACCCCATCAGAAACACCCTTTCACCTGGCATCTCACCACTCTCTGTCATTTCCTGAGAGGCCAGAGGACAGACATGCCTGAGCACAGGTCAGCTGGAGCCGCCCTGGGGCACTGGGCCTGCTCACTCATGCGGTCGTGTTTACGGAGCTCTGGCCCCGTGTCCCTCCTGGCGCCTGGCCGGGCGCTGCATGTTCCTGGGTCCGTGGACAGCACACGAGCCACAGGGACGGTCAGGGGAGGGGGAAGCCCTTAGCAGTGACCCACGAGGCCCAGTTGGTCCAAAGCCCCCAGTCCTCTTCTCTGCTGGGCCCATGACTTGGTGGGGACGACAGTGGGGTGACTGACTATGGTCCCGCCTATTCTGCAAGCTTTGGCTCTGAGTCACAGCATACACATTGGCCTCTTCCTAATCCTTTCTCAGGCTTGTGGATAGATTTTTCTCTTTATTCTGTGAGCTTAAAAATACCCAGTTCCTCACCTTTGCAAAGTATCAGCCGGACTGTTGCCTTTGGCTCTGTGGGGGCTGCAAAGTGGACCCAGCAGCTACCTGAGCTGGCGTGGCCGTGGCTGCAGACAGCTCCTCTCCAGCAGTCGCTGAGTCCAGGGCCTGGCTGTGGCGGTGGCCTGCTATAGGCCCTGCTGGCAGTCTGGGGGGTGGTCTGGGGGATTGTTGGGGGTGGTGGTCTGGGGGGTGGTCTGGGGGGTGGTCTGGGGTGGTGGTCTGGGGGAGTGGTCTGGGGTGGTGGTCTGCAGGGGTTGGTCTGGGGTGGTGGTCTGAGGGAGTGGTCTGGGGTGGTGGTCTGGGGGTTTGGTCTGGGGGGTTGGTCTGGGATGGTGGTCAGGGGTGGTGGTCTGGGGTGATGGTCGGGGGTGGTGGTCTGGGGTGGTAGTCGGGAATGGTGGTCTGGGGCTATCCTAAGTGCCTGGCTTCATCACTCTGTGAAGGCCCCTGCCTACTAGCATCATGTCAACCACTAAATCTCACCACCACTTCCTGGGAGGTGGGAGGACAACCCGCAACGAGGACAGGTCTGGGTGCCTTGAGGTCATATCAAGCCCAGGGCTCCAGGGCCAGAGGGAGGCAGCCCTCAGTCCAGCTGCACTTCTCACCACCTGCACCAGCCTCAGTTTCCCCGCCTGTAGGATGACGTGGCCACTGGGAGAGTAACGGAAAGATTTATATGGAAAGTGCATACACAGTGCCTGGCACAAGGCAGGAGCCCCCAGAATGGCAGGAAGATGGTAACACGGGAATGAATTTGGATCTTCTGGGCAGTTGCATTTGATCCAAGTGAGGGCCACCAAGCAGGCAGTCTCTGAGTGTCTTGGGTGGCACCAGGCTCTGCCCTAAAGGAGGTCCCCTCCTGTGTAACACCCAGAGGCAGAGAGGTGAGGCGTGCCAGCAAGAAGCAGCTTTGGGGGCTAGACACCATCCCCCCAGTGGTCCCAGCACACGGAAGGTGCTCAGTCGGTGCCCCTGCTCTGCAGCTCGCCTCACCCAGCAGGCTTCTCTAATGTCCCCGTTCCCAACCCTTCCTACCCAGGCATCGTGGGCTCCCAGGGGAGCAGCACCCATGGCTGGCAGGGCTGCCGTCAGCACGCATGTGTACCTGCAAGCACAAAACAGCCGGACAGGGACAGAGTTGGGAACAGACATGTGGGAGCAAAGAAACCCGACAGGGGAATGGGGGGTGAGCATGGGGGGTGAGGAGGAAGAGCAAGACCGGGAGGGGGCATTTTTGAGGCTGGAAATGAAACCTTGCCCATCCAATTTACATCCAATGTGAATAGGATGCAAATCAAATGTGAAATGAAACTGCAGATTTAAAATATGCCCAGGGCTAGAAGAAATCAGAAAGTGGTGCCAGAGAACCATTAGCAAAGCCTTTGGCTGAAGAAAAAATAGAGAAAGAGTATATGAAAGGTTTTTAAAAAAGAGAATGATTAAAATGTCAAAACATTGAGAAGCCCTTGGGAAACTAAGCCTTCCATTTCTCCTTCTCCTTCTCCTTCTCTTTCTCCTTCTCCTTCTTCCTCTCCTCCTCCTTCTTTATTGTTCTTTTTCTTTTTGATGAGGGTAAAAAGTGAGCTTCATTAACATGTTGCTGGCTTCCTGTGGACGGTTTTGCTGAAAAATGGGACTTCCCTCAATCAACCCTTGCTGGAAATTTTGTTAAACACGTAACAAACTTCCGATTACTTCTCATTTGTAGTTTAATTTTTTCAAGGTAAAGCCCCAATCAAACCTTTTGCTCATGATGTACTATGAAATGTTGGCTGTTTGAAGTGTACTTACTAAGAGTGGCCGGTTTCTGGTACCAGTTATCCTGGGTTAACAAAGGACCTCCTGAATAGACCAATTTAGTTGTAGAATCTCCAAGTTGAAGATGAGTAAAATGTCAACTGAACTCACCACTTGAGGCTTGAATTTTATTTATTTTATTGTATTTTATTTTAGAGGCAGGGTCTTGCTCTGCTGCCCAGGCTGGAGTGCAGTGACACCATCACAGCTCACTGCAACCTCGAACTCCTGTGCTCCAGTGACGCTCCCGCCTCCGCCTCCTGAGTACCTGGGACCACAGGTATGTGACACCGTTCCCGGCCTGAAGCTTGAATTTTTGCCTCCATGGCTGCCAGCAAGAGGTTGCAGATGCTCTGCCACAGGCCTCCATGGCAGGAAGCTCACAGGTCTTCCAGCACCTGTTCCAACATCCCATCTCTGGAATGGCACTAACTGCTCGGAGCCAAGGGATAAAGGAGCGTTTCGTAACAGAGCTGGGCTTTCCAGATCCCTAATGCAGTGCCTGCTTCCTAATCATCCCATCTCCTTTCAACCCAGACATCTCAGACCCAAAACGTGGCATTCACCCTTGTCACTGTACTTCCTTTCACTCTGTAATCTCCTCTCCTTTCTGTCCTATGGAGTGGCCCAAGGAAATTCTAAAACAATGTATTATCCACATAATGGGAACGGAGCAGACGGCCCAGGAACATGCTGATGAGTGTCACAATGGAAGGAGGTTCTAGCGGGGCACAGACTGTTGCGTCTTGTAGGAAGGAGAAGCTGCCCCCGGCTGGCACTTGGCCTGTTTCCAGAGAGAGGGGAAAGCCATCTGGGCAGGTGGCTGGGAGGGTGGGCTCCCCAGCATCGAGCTCTGAGAGTGCAGTGGCCGAGCACACACAGTGTCTGTCATCTCAACTGCCACCTGATGCTGTCTCTTGAGATTCGGGTTAACTCAAAGGATTCCTCAGAAAGAAAGCTGAAACGATGGCATTCCTGATGTTGAGGAATTTAACCCAAGCCCAAAAAACACCCAACAAATGTACTGAACATAAAGACACTTTATAAAGTATTTCACAGGGTTACCATCTTCCACCTTGGACCTCTGGAAAGATCTGTGGGGTGAGTTTTAGTCCCCATGACACACAGAACATCCGTGAAGACTTAAAACATGCCACAGGAGGGGACGCTCAGGAGAGCCTGTGGAAAATTCCAGCAGGTAGTTCTCGAGAGCTGGTCCAGGGGTCAGCAGGGGATCTGTGTTTCCTTCTCAGGTCAGGTCCCCACCTCCCACCCCCAAACAAGAAGTTCCCCTTTCACAGACAGGAGGTGACCCTAGCAGACAGCGCAGCAGTCGGAGGTTAGACGCAGCGAGCTCCCGCCCCGGACGCGAAGGCACACGGGAGAGTAAACGCAGCACCCACAAGCAATAGGGCAGGGCTTTTTTGTTGTTGTTGTTGGGGGCGGGGGTGAGGGGTTGTTTTCTTTTTTTCCACCATCCAGGGCGTTTCTGTTTTCTAAAAAGTTATGCCGGAAGGTGGAGCGGCCAGTTAACACCATCTGGGTTTTCAGCTCAAGTTCTGTGCGGCTTTACGAAGACTTCCATCTGATTAGAGAGAACACGGCATGGACCACGTAGAGCAGAGTGGCTACGTAGGAGAACACCTGGAAGCAAGAGAAATGGCCGTTAATGGGTTTGCGCAGGAGGGCGAGGCACAGCGTCTGCACTGCATCCAGCCTCACATGGCGCAGGGGCGCCAGACCCAGAGAGCTTGGGCTGCCACTGCTTCTCACCCCTCATATGGATGCCCTCCCTGCTGTGCACCACATCCTCTCAGTACAGAGCTCCGTGTGACCTAACAACCGCCTGGACCTGGTGTGCAAGGTCAGACTCTCCACTATCACCCAGCATCACACTGGTCTCAGCCTGAGGTCTCGGCTGACCTGAGATGGAGTCCTCAAAGGCCCCTCCAATGAAAGCATCTCGGGCAGGTAACTTTCGAGGGACAACGTCCTCCCCCAGCAGTGAGACCAGCACCCTCCAGCTGTGGTCCTGGTGGCTTGGTTGAGAGATTGTAAATTCCTGGGTTTGCTGGCCCTGGTGAAAGTCTCCGTGCCGCCTGGACGTCCTCGCCCGATCATTATTTTGTTTTGGGTTCTTAATGTCACAGGTGTGGCTGAGGGAGCCAGACTTCATAGGGAGTGAGGGACAGCGAAGGAGAGGAGGGAGTTTGAGCTTTTGTCGAAAGGAGGGGCCTTGCTGGTGGGACCATCCAGTCAGCCACTGTGGCCCCGGGAGCGATGGCCCTGCTTGCTGGGGACTTGCTGTGTCCTCCTGAGCACTGTCTGCTGCCATCGCCCCACTCCCTGAGGCCTGCCTGCTGCCGAGCCCAATCTCTGCACCTGGTTTTGTGACCTTGGGTGGAGGTCAAGAGTTTCCAGCTCGGGCATAACATCCATTGAGGGCGGCTACGCCTCTGTGACTCCTGAAAATGCCCATCCACCCCAGCCCTCAGGGCGCCTGCTGTCCTGCCTCTACACCCGGGCAAGCCCTTTCCCTCATTGCCCGCAGGCGGCGAGGAAGCTGAATGATTGAACAACACATTTAAGAGAGCGTATCTGGGGCAGGCAGTCAGACCCCAGTGGGCAGCCCTCCGTAGACGGTGGGCGTTCCAGACCAACGAGGGCCTTTGGCAGAAGCACCTTGGAAGTCCCCAGCAGGAAGAGCGGTGGAGACTCATTTTCCAAGTGGGGTCAAGAAATGGCCCACTGGGAACACGCAGAGCTGGGCACGAATGGGCAAATTTTGGCTTCAGAAAACTCTCTCCCTAAACTGCAGCCATCGCCGCCCACCATTGTATAATCTAGAAACCTCCAGATTTCTCCAGAAATTTCCATCTCGTCCCAGTCAACTTCCACCAATCCCCGGGGTCCCTTTGGCAAAGCAGCTCTGCCACCCACAAAGGAGAGAGGGAGGAGCTCAGCTTGGAACAGGCCCTGATTGGTAGCCACAGAGTGGAGGTGAGGCAGGCTGGCTGCTTCCAAAACCAGGCTGTGTGAGAGAGGGTGTGAGGTGCCTCCTTGCACCCCAGTATCCCCTGGACTGGACATGCTGCAGTTGGGCGGGTCTGGGATTGAATCCTGAGTAACGAACTTCTTTCTCTCTCACAGTCAGATGCAGTTGATACTGTGAGTTGAAAGGCGTGACTTTACATCGAACACCGTGCAGATTTCCCCTTGGTGGTTTTATTTGGGTGCATCTGCCAGCTGAGAACACTCGGTTCTCAATTGTAACCCTCCTGTCTGCATGAGCATATTCGTGTCTATCCATCTCAACTAAAAAAATGGGAACATGGTCAATCATGGGATGGATAAGTAGCTGTTGGTCTATTCCTACAAGGAAATACTACACAGTAATGAGAACAAACAACCCACATCTACACACTTGTCGCTTGAGTGAATCTCACAAACATAAGGGTGAGAGAAAGAAGCCACATGAGTCCCCACTGTATAATTCCACTTATATGAAGTTCAAAGGCAGGCGAGACTGAACAGGTGCCTGAAATCAGAACTGGGTGGTGGTGGGGCACAGTGATGGGGACAGGACTTGAGGGGATTTCTAGGAGTGGTTTATCAGGCCCTAATTCTTAGTCCAGATGCCAGCTACACAGGGAGATCGCTGTATGAAATCTGTTGAGCTGTGGGCTTGTAACTGCACGCCTCTCTGGCTGTGTGCTGCCTTTGATAAAAGGTAAAAGAGAAAAGTCGGAAGGCAGTAGAGCCTAGTGGTTCCCAACTAGAGACCCGCGCAGCAGGAAGGGGCGTTCGTTCCCCTAGCTGGGTTTTTCCATCAAGTGCTGACCCACTGACCACATCCCATCTGCATTTCGCAACCCTTGCCCACCACAGTTTTATGGAAATTATTATCAGACACTTCGCTGATGTTTGTTAAAAGAGAAGGCTTGGTTGGGATGGGGGAGGTATGAAGCGGCCTTGGGAGAGGGAGATGAGAGGGAATTGCGTGAAGAAGATGGAGGGTGGGTCACCAGCCTCCCCAGGAAGGAAGATCAGTCAGGAGCCACCTGGCCGTGCTGCTGCTTGGAAACCAGCCGTGCTGGGAGATGGGCCAACGCGGGACATCACCACATTCTACCTTGGGATTTGCATAATTCATAGGTCAAGTTCTAGATATCTGAAGAATGCTCTTTCTGAAACTTCTTACTTTTTAACAATACCCACAGTCAGAAGCGTGTTTTATATCGTAGACTGGTGCAAGGGCACACATGCTCAGCTCTGAAAACCACGTGATGAAACAGTATATTCTGTTACCCTGTCATTCTGATCCAGTCCATTAAGACGACAATCCACCTGGCTCCAGTGTCCCCACCCCTGGCTGGACGCTTCAATGGACGGGCACGTGGGGAGCGTCAGGAGACCCATGTGGCCAGACTCACGGCCCCAAACCGGTGCTGAGGGTGTGGGGACTGGGCCCCCAGCCTTGATGCTGGGCCCTACGATGCCTGGTGATCTTGGGCCCGTCACCCACACTCTCTGGCCCACTTCACGTGTGAGATGGGTGTCATAATCCTGGGCTGTAGGGTTGCCGTGGATGTTGAATAAGATTGTTCACAGAGCACCTGGGTAAGGCGTTGGGCAGCTGCATCCCCTCACACGTCTGCCCTCTGCAAAGCCCACCCAGGCCTAGGGCATGCAGCCCTGGCCGGACGACTAAGCAGAGCCTTGGGCACGACACGACACCCCTTTTCTCTGGGGCTTTCCTGCTCCAGGGATGAAGGCAAGGTTTGACCTCCCTCCAAAGTTACTGAGCTGAAAACAGAGGGCCTGGGCAGCCTCCACACACACCCTGCCAGCCGCGGAGCCGCCCGCTGTGGATACAGCCCCGGGTGCCCGGACTCACCACGGCAGCAATGTTTTCGTGGTAGTGCCTGTAGGTGAAGCCGTCTTGCATCGTGATGGTGGCCAGGGCCTCCAGGACCGAGGCGCTGAGGTAAAAGAGGGCAGCGGTACAGTGGTAGGCTGCGTCCTGCGGGGCAGACGGAGCGTCAGAGGGATGGGGAGAGAGAGATGGGGCCCGGATGCAGATCTGAGGTCCCCCCCACCCCCGTCCCTTGCCTCTCCCCCTACTTCCTTTGAATCCCACCCCTCCCAACCTTGTCACGGAGGTCCCATGCCTGCCCTGCTGCACTGAGTCTCACTTCACTGCCGTGGGGCCAGAGCAAGCACTTCGGATGGGACATGGGTCTCCCCTGAGGAAGGGTCAAGGGAGAGGTGGAGGAGGGGCCAGCAGCTTGGAGTGTCCCAGGGAAAAGCTCGTCCTGGATCCGAGAAGTGTCGTGCATGGCCACAGTCCAGCGTGGGTGTGGCCTCACTGACCAGTGCAGGATGAGGCAGGACCATGCTGTTGCTATTGTTTTGTTTTGTTTCATTGCTCATTTTTGGCTCCTGGTATATTTAAAAGCAAAAAAGGGCTTGGCGTGGTGGCTCACGACTGTCATCCTAGAGCTTTGGGAGGTTGGTGCAGGAGGATCTCTTGAGGCTAGGACTTGAGACCAGCCTGGGAAACATAGTTAGATCCCTATTTCTACACAAAACAAGAAATCTTAGCTGGGTGTGGTGGCACATGCCTGTAGTCCCAGCTACTCAGGAGGCTGTGGCAGGACCATCACCTGAGCCTGGGAGGTTGAGGCTGCAGTGAGATGAGATTGTGCCACTGCACTCCAGCCTGGGTGACAGAATGAGACCCCCAACTCAAAATAAAGAAATAAATGACAGCAAAAAGGTACTAAAACAGGGTTTTATGTAGTTGTGATTTGGAAGTGATTTCGATAGTCTAAGTAGCAGAGCTTTTGAGACTGACAGGCTTGGCCAAACGGCCCCACCACCCCTACAGCAGGTAAGGGACAAGTGTCCTACATGTAAAAGTTACTTTTTCGTGGCCCTCAAGGCAGAATTTATACAGAATAATGACCAAAGGCCACTTCTGTTTCCCTGTGCTCTGTGGCAGCCCTGCTTGGAGCTGGACAGTAACCATGGCTTGACCCTCAGAGCCAGTTTCCGGAGCCCAACACCTCGGTCAGCCTCCAGGGCCCTGCTCCCCTGAGACGAAAACCGCCCTCGCGGGTGATGGGAGGGGCAGGCAGGCACCTGGTGGGTACAGGTGGTGTGGGGGCTGGGCAGCTGGTTATCCATGGAAAGGCAGTCATGCGGGAGAACAGAACAGGTCCAATGAGGGTTGGCGGTGGAGACCTTGCCTCTGCCCCTGCCTCTCCTGATTCCGCTGCCGGGAGCCCTGGGCAGGCTCAGCCTTGGAACATGGTGGGGTGACGTCTACGGAGAAGTCTCACCTGGCACTGGGAAAGCCCACCCTACCGGGCCAGGGGCCAGTACTACTGCCGCCCCGCCCCCCACTACAGCCAGCAGTCGCCCTGGGCTGCACTCACCAAGGTGACCCAGGAAGTCTCTCCACCGTGGGCTCCAATTAGGTACAGGATGATCAACGTGGTGGTGGCCACGAAGCAGAACACAGACACGAACATCACCCAGCCCTGGACCAGGGGCCAGGGCACCAGGGAGGAGGCCACCAGGATCCACACCAGGCCCCCGAAGATCTGCGGGGGAGGAGGAGGGGTGAGTTTCGGCCCAGAGGAGAGCCCCAGCCCAGGAAGGGCCCCGGAGCAGCGGTCACACGGGGTGACTGGGCTGCAAAAAACACAGGAAGCAGGCAAAGAGGACAGGGCAGGCGTTTTCCTCTCCAAAAATGCATCTGTCGTCCCCGCAAGGCCCTGTGCTGGATCTCAATCCCAATCCCCAGCATGCCTGCTCTGAGTAACTTTTTAAACATTTTCTTTCTTGAGACAGAGTCTTGCTCTGTCACCCAGGCATGAGTGCAGGGGCGTGATCTCGGCTCACTGCAACCTCTGCCGCCCGGGTTCAAGCGATTCTCATGCCTCAGCTTCCTGAGTAGCTG